TTTTTTTTTTTATTTTTTTTTTTTTTTTTTTTTTTTTTTTTTTTCAAATGAGCATTTTATATCTTCTTATAATTTAATTCTCCCATTTCAACATTTTGTAATTTTTTCTTGGACAGTTATTATTAAAATTTTTTTTTAGTTTTTCTTTTTAATTCTTTTTTATTCAGAAATATAATAATATTTCAATATATTTTTTCCTAAATTCATATATGTTCTCTTATTTATTATATACTTTTTTATCTATTTTTCAAAGTGAAATGAAAAAATAAAAATTAACATTTATTAATGAATAGGATAATACTTATCTATAATAACTGGTTTGTCAGAAATAAAATGGGCTTCATGATTATACAGAATATCTTCTTTTATATTTGTTGTTATAAGTAATAAATAAGATGTAAGATCATCTTCTAACTCTACTAGTGATATTAGGACAGAATTAAATTTTATGTAATAATCATAAGCACATGTAGAAAGGGGAAGAATATTATTACCTGAACTACCATGTATATTGCATTTTTCAATTATTTTATATATTGATCCATTATATGAAATTGTAGTATTGAAAGAATTATTTTTTATAATATTTCCATTTTCGCAATCATTGGTAATAGTATCTGTTGAGTTTACTAGTTTATATATATTAACTAACGGTATTCCTTTAATATCCACATTTTGAAAAAAAGTGATTCTTAATGATAGTAAAGTGACTGAAGTGGTATGAAATAAAATTACTGAATAATTTTTTAAAGAACATAAATGGATAACTTCGTATTTAAAAATAGAAAAAGGAGGTAAAGTATATGCATACGGAATAAAATACAAAATCGGTTTTTGTTTAAATTTAGGATAATGTATACATATTTGGTAGTTACCTGTAGTGTTTGCTCTGTATAAAGAAGGAATAAGACAATAAACTCCACTTTTTAAAGTGCATTCAATATAACAACAACCAGCCTTATATGCTCCACTTGATATAACTTCTCCCTTTTTTAATCCTCTAGGAGAAGATGTTATACCTTTAAAAATTCTTAAATTAACGGAATGTTCTTGGGAACACTCTAAAAATATACAAAAAGGAGACTCTTCAGGAACATAAAAACGTATATGCGGATTTCTAAAATAAGACCACAAATTATTTGAGCATCCACCTGCACTTTTATTTGTCCATTCTCCTTTAAAATAAAAAGATTCATAATTTTCTGGCATTAAAGGGGGTAACTCATATAATGACAAATGTGTGTGACTAAAAACTTTTAATGTAAAATTAAATTCTTCTTTTTGAGAATATTGAGACACAATCAATACAAAATCAACATTTCTCAAAACTTCTTGTTCACTCTCCAGAGAAACATTGAAATTATTTTCATTAAATGATGTAGTATTTTTTTGTTTCTTTACATCATAATTATAATTATCTTCTATTCCACCAATCACTAATTTTGTAAAAGTGCATTCCCCATTAGAATAAATTCCTTGCTTAATTGGAAATAATGGGCAAATTATTCTGTCCTTTCCTGCATGAACATGTAAGGCTAAATATTTTTGAGAAACATCCGTTTTTCTTTCTTTAACATGTCTTGACAAAAGAACCCAAATTTCAATGGGTTTCTTTCCTATATAATATAAACCATCTTCTGATAAATCTTGCTTTCTCACATTTACATGTAAGGCAAATTGAGGATTATAAGCTACTAAATGAGTGTCATCTAATAATATTGAGGAATTTAAAAAAGCACTATTTTCCCATTTAGTATGAATTTCAAATTGATAAGCAAAAATAACACTATTCCAACATATATATATATGTGAAAAATATTTCACAACATCTTTCCAAGGTATCCAGAAACATCCATCATCTTTACTTTTTGCTTTTTCTATAGAATAATTTAATTTTCTTTGCAATTCTTTTGTCCATGTTGTAACATCATGATGTGAATATTTACCTTTCCACCTAATACATCCCCACGGATTTTTTATATATAATAATTTATCTTCATTATGTGTTTCAATATTTAAAATAGAATAAGCATGTCTAGTTACAATTCCGGTTGACATAGATACTCCTTCAGGGTAATCTAATCCAGATGGTGCTGCATCTTTTAATTCTAAGGTTCCTAAACAAACCACACATTTTCCCTTTTTTATGCCATCATAAATATGATTCCATATTATATCCCACCTTTTATCATATTCTTCACTTTCTGTTTCTTGAATTAAACTATCTCCTTTTTTGTTCAAATCACTATAATTATCAATAGATCCACATATGTAAGATGATAAATCCATGTTGCTTACTTCTTCATTTATAAATTTATTTCCATAATTTTTACATATTTCATAATCTTTATCTTCTTTGTGTAATTTTTTTTTAACTTTATTTATGTAAAATGAATCACACTTCATTGATATGTCTCTAATTGAATCAATGCTTACTAAGTTAGTATTAAATTTACAAGTACTCATCAAAGTTGTGTTTTTTAAATTTACTTCTTTTAAGTTAGTCCTCATTGAACTATGTTCCATTAAAACATTATTTTCTAAATTAAAGTTAACTGAATTAATTTCTTTATTTTTGTTTTTTATTGAATTTTTCTCTATTAAATTATCACTTATTTGGGTATTCAAAGAACTTAAATATTCAACATTATATGAATCTTCTATATATTTTTTCCCATTTTGATTTTTCATAAAAACGCTATTTATACTTTTATTTATTTTCTTCTTTTGAGATAAATATAACCTTTTAAAATTCCAATAAATTTTCAACTTTCTGTATTTTATAAAATCCTTCCTTAAATAGGAATAGTTAGAATTTCTATGTAATCGATGTAAATTTAAGTTAACACAACTTTTCAATGTGTTATCATTTAATATACATAAGTTATTTGAATTATATATCATGTTAGTGTAGTTATTCTTTTTCATAGAATGAACTACTAATTGTCTCCTTTTTATAACTTTCTTATTTTTGCATTTTAGTTTTTCTCCTTTTTTTATTCTGGATGCTTTTTTTACTCCTTCTCTTTTATTATGTATATTTCTAACACATTTATTAAGATTATTCTGTTTATTTTCATTGATTCTTTCAATGAAATATTTTAATTTGCTGAATTCATTCTTCTTAATTTTGGATTTTTTTTTTTGTAGTGAATGTATAGTAGATTTATCAAATGAGGGAGGAGAACTTCTTACCTTAGATTTAAAAGAAATTGTAACAGGAATCCATCCAGTTAAGTAATATAAATCGGAACCTGGATTAGAACCAAACATAGAATAAGAACCTCCCATTAATTTAACAAATGCCTTTTCTAATAAAGTAACCCATAATTCTTTCTGGTTATTTGAATATGCTACTAATAATGCATTATTAATCTTAACAGGCACATAATCATCAATTATTATTTTTCTTTGAATTCCATTACAGTGCAATCTACATATATACATACCACTTGGATTAAAAATAGGCCAAGTTTTATTAACATACAAATAATGAGATGTGCAAGGAGATATAATACTTGATAAAACTGGTATTTTATGTTTTTTTTCGTATTCTATTAAAACTGTTAAAGAAGATAAAAATGAACAATCCGCAACAAAACCTTGTCTTATACAATTATTATATAAATCTGTAGACATAACAATTGGATTATCATATAAATCTGATAACCTTTTCCATGCATAAAATTTTTTTTTTTGTCTGTTACTTAATTCTAAGAATCCATCAGGATCTGTCCATTTAAAGTTTAACCATCCATATAATTTAAAACGATTTAAATAATGAAATATACATCTTTTTTTATTGCATTTACCACAAGACATATAATTTTTTTTTATACAATTTTCATTTAATTTATATTTATGGTCACATTCTTTTAATGTATTTCTTGTAATTTCTAATTTATTCATTTGATTAAACTCATTTTTTGTCATTTGATCAACTTTATTATTATTATTATTATCTTTCTTTTTATTTAAATAAAAATTTCCATCACTATAATTTTCACTTTTTAATTCTTTAATTTTCTTATATTTACTCTTTCTTTTTGTAGTAATTTCTTCGTAAGCCATTTTATGGATTTCATTTATTCGTTTAGCTTTTATATTCACATTTTGTATATTATAATCATTCACATTTTTATTTTTTAAATGTTTATTATAATTTACTTCATTATATTTCTTACTTATAACTTTTTTATTATAATTTTCTTCTTTTGATTCTTTTTTTTTTCTTTTGTTATATTCTTCATCGATTTCATTTATAGTACTACTTATATCTTTCTTTTTATATTCATTATCATTTACTTTTTTAACTTCCTTTTCTTTTTTACATTTTGCTCCTTTTTCTCTTTTATTTTTCATTGTTTCTTCTTTTTTCTCTTTTTCTTTTTCTATTACTCCTTTTTTAATTTTTAAATGACTTTGAAGTTCTAAAGTTTTGTTAGTAAGCATCATCTTCATATTATCTTCAAATGAAAATGAAGGTTTAACAACATTTTTTTTCTTCTTTATAATTTTTATATCATTTTTATTTTTCATATTTACATTGTTTTCTCTACTATTTTTCTTTTTTGTATGTTCTATTGATGCAATATAATAATCATACTTATTAGTGTAATTATTATTTAAAACTCCCTCTTTAGAATTGTTATGTTTGCTTTTTACTTTTCCATTCTCTATATATGCATAATTATTTAAATTATAATCTAAAATTTCATCATTAATTTGTTCATTTAACTCTTTCTTTTCAATTTTGTCCTCAAGTGTCATTTTTATGATTTTTTCTTTTTCACTTATTTTTTCTCTGTTTTCATTTTTTCCTTTCTTTAAGTTAGAATTTTCACAATATTCTAATTTATTTATTGAATGTATTTTATTGTTTTCTTTTTTTTTTTGAGTTGGAGATTCACCTAATTTTTTTATATTTTTATCTTTATTAGAACTGTTCTTCTCCTTAATACACCTATCATCTATACCTGTTTCAATATAATTATTAATTGTTTTCACATTTTTTATATTAATTTTTTTTTTTTTTTTTGTTTTACTATTTTTCAATTTACATAGAGAATCTTTTCTAATATGTAACTTATACAAATTATCTATACTAAGATTCCTATTATTTATATATTTATTATCCTTCTTTTTTATACTTTTTCCACTTCTATTTATGCTACATATCTTTCTTTTCAAAGTATTTTCTGATTCAAACTTCCACAAATAATTTTTATTTGCAGAAGAATATCTTAATAAATTATTTGTTTCTATATGTTCATTTTTATTTTGAAAAAAACCACAGTAGTTAATTTCCCCATTTTCTTCATAGTCGTTTATACATCCTAATTCTTTCTTTTTTTGAATATAATTTAAAACATACTTCAAATATAAATTATTTTTTATATCAGGATCATTTTCTATCCATGGTAGTATTATATATTTCCCAATTAAAGAACTTTCGAATAATATCTTTGATGCATGAGTATTTTCAGCAATATGACTAGGCATTAATGAAAATAGATTAAATGCATTATTATTATATTTATAAAATTCATATATATACATGAAATAATTTTTTTTCAATTTAATATTTTTGAAATCATGATAATAAAGTAAAACTTCTTTATTTTTTTCATTTGCATTCATTTTTTCTTCCTTATTTTTATAATTCATCCAAAAATTATTATTTTTTTCATTTTTATTTTTATTTTCTTTTATAAATATTTCCTTTTTATTTTTACATAATAATTTTTTCTTTTTTTCCAAAAGTAATCCTTCTATTTTACATATAGAACTACAATTTTTCTTATCTCTCGAAGAGCATTTTTTTTTTATCAAATTATTATTGATGGTATTTATAATTCCTTTAAAGGAATTATTTTCAAATTTATTTTCCTTTTCCTTTTCCTTTTCCTTTTCTTTTATATTTTCTTCATTATTTTTTTGTCTCTCTTTTCTTTTATTTTGTTTTTCAGTTTTTTCTACTTCTTTATACTTCGTTTTACATATTATTTCTTCTTTTTTTTCATATTCTTTTTTTTTTTCTTTATATTTTATTACTTCAATTTGTTCTATTTGTTTTTCCTTTTCCTTTTCTTTTTTTTTTTCTTCTATAAACTTTTTACTTTTAAGTAAAGAAGTTTTTTGATATTTGTTCCTTTGTTCTTCCCCTTTTTTTTTATCATTTAATTGAGTAAAACCTTTGGTACTATTTTTTATGATTTCATTATTATTATTTGTATTGCTATTTTTAACAGCATATTTGTTAGATACTTCATTAAACTTATTTTTATAAGTTTCCCTTTTTGTGTTACTAATGGTGCTAGTAGCACCTTCATTTAAGATGTCTATTTTTAGTTCATTATAATTATCAGTACTGACTTTTATTGAATTACTCTTATCATTTCCTTTTTTTTCTTTTACTTTACTAAATGCACACCCCATATCATTATATAAAAATTTTTCATTTAGAAATTTACATAAAATTGATAAAAACAACGAATAAGGTAATAAAAAAACTTTTATTATAATTAATACAAAAACAGAAAAAATTAAATTATTAAAAAAAAGTATATAGTTTCTGAAAGTATAATTCTATAATATGCATATAATTACATATATTTTTTTTCAAAAAAATATTTTTCTATATTAATATGATAACATATACATTTTTTTCTAAAATCTATATACGTAAATAAAAAAATATATATATTTGTAAATTTTTTTTTTATAAAAAAAAAAATTTGTCTGAGAAAGAAAAAAAAAATTATTTTGACATTAATAATATTGATTAAATAAATGTAAAAAATGGTGAAAACATAATTAAACAAATTTTTTTTTCATTAAAAAAAAATTTTTAAATAAACAAATATCCATTTACCTCATTAAAACAAAATAAAGCGAAAATAAAAAATATCAAACAGAAAACTTCAAAGTAGTTATTAAATAAGAATTTAAAAAAAAAAAAAAAAAAAAAATTTAAATAAAGTTATTTACGAAAACAGAATGGAAATAATGAATCTTTTGAAAAAATAAGAAAAATAAAAGATAAAAATATATAAAGAAAAAAATTGTTTAAAATTAAAATATGTAATTATTATAATTATATATAATTTAAAGAATTATGTATTTAATTTTATATATAAAAAGACTGAAATATGCCATTAAGTTTTCTTTTTCATTTATTTTTGAAAAAAAAAAGAACAAATCAAAAAGTAAAATTATGTAAAGATGAGAAAAAAAGTAAAAAATACAACTTTAATAATATTATAAATATTCATTAATAAATTTAAATAATTATAAGTAAATTCCTTTTTATTTTAACAAAACTGTTAAGAATATCATTAATGATAAAATTACCACCTCTTATTGCATAAAATGAAAAATACTTTGTTATTTTAAACAAAAAAAAAAAAAAAGAGAATAAGAAAAAAACTATTTTATGAATTCCTTCATAAAAGAATACTTACATAATGATAGAAGTTAAATAATATAATAATTTATTAAGAGTAATATTATATGGGTATATTTGGATGTTTATATATATATATAGAAGAATTGTAAATTTTTATAATTTTACAAAAATCTTTTCAAAAAAAAGTATTAATTTAAAAAATCTTTTTTATTCAGATTATTTTGTTTTCCTTTTTTTGTAGAAAAAAGAAGAATTAAGAAGTGTTACATATACTATAATAAGAAAAAATAAAAAGAAAAGTATGTTTAAAAAATATACAAATAAAAATACTATGAATGAAAATATACATAAATATATACATAAATTTTAAATGAATGTTCACAAAATTCTAAATTTTAAATAATTGTTTTCTTATTAAAAAAAAATTTTATACATAAGGTACTATATATACAAATATATAATTAAAGAAGAGATATGATTTATAAAATATATCTATTTAAAAATAAATGAAAATGGGATAACCAAAAATTTAAAAAAATTTTTTTTTTTTTTTTTTTTATTTCCATATATCAGCTTGCTCATCAGGCATTTTAAAATCTCCAAACATTCCAGATGGTGGAGCATACCCAAAAAATTTTTGTATATTTTGTCTAGTTAGCATAAGGGTTAATGTATAAATAAAAGTTGATGAGCAATGATATAAATTTTTTTCTTGCACACCTGCATGAGTTATTAATGTAAAGGGGAAAATTGGTTTAAAAGGTAAAATAGCTATTGTTAGTCCTTCAAATAAACTAAATAAAATGGGCATCATTGACATAAATATTAAACCAGTTATTACATTTGATTTTGTTTTTAACGATGTCATCATTTTTGTTTTTTGCATATAAATTTCTTCAGTGGAAATTTTTTTTTTCCCCTTCTTTTGATCTAATTTACTTATTAAACCATCTTCTTTTTCTTTTTGAACTTTTTCATATAATACTTTTATTTCTTCATTTAAAGATTTAAATGTATCTTTTCTATATACAAATAACCAGCTTAAAAATTCAGAAAAAATTCCACATCCAATTGCTATTCCTATTATTATAAATATGTCAATCTTTCTTATGGTTTCATCCATATTCCTAAAAAAAATAAGATTCACATATAAATGTGAAGTTCAAATAAATATTTACATATAGAATACTTTAAAGGAATAATAAAATTAATATTATTAAATATTCACTTTTTTTTTTTTTTTTTTTTTATTTACATAATCTAAATAAAACACAAAGAAAAAATATAATATTGCAAAATTTAAAGGTTATTTTAAGAAAATACAACTCATCAAAAAATTGATATAAAAAAAAATCCAAGAAAATTTTTAAAAATTAAAAAAAAATAAAAAAATAATCATTTAAATGTTGTAGCTAGCTAAACCTTAAACATAGTAATATATTAAATATTCAATTATAATACCATAATTTCAAATATATTTTTTTAATGTTTCTCTAATTTTTATTTTTATTTTTTTTTTAAATTTCCTATATATTTAATACTTTGATTAATTTTACATAGTATGAAGAATTACGTGTCTTCTGTATTACATAAAAATAAACAATATAAAGTATTTAAGTTATATAAAAAATATATATACTTAAAATTAAAAAATAAATAAGTAAAATTATTCTTATTCTATTTTTTATTTTTAATTTCATTATATTTTTTTTTATTCATTTATTTATTTTATTTTTTTTTTTTTTTGTTTCAAATCTATTTATTAGTAATAAAACGAAATTTTATATGAATATATACATACAATTTACGTAAATTAATATAAATTTTTTTTAATTTAGTGTTTTGTATTAAATTTATTTTGTTATTTTTCAAAAACAAAACAAGAAAATTACAAAATAATATAAATAATTGTTACCTCAAAATTTATGAAATTCCTTGTTTAAAATTAAAATCAAAATTTTCATTTTCTTCCAACTGTATCTCTTTTATAATATTTTGCTTTATTCCATTAATAAATTAACTAGTGCATTTATATGAAAAACATAAAAGAAAAAAATAATAATAAAATAATTAGGCATTTTATTTTAACTAAATTTTTCGTTTCTGTCAGTAAAATATTCTACATTTTGTTTTTTTATAACATTTTGAAGGAATAAAAATAAAAATATAATAGTTTTAAGAAACAATAATATAATAATTTTGTAAAGAGTATATTTTTATTAAAATACAGAAAAAGGATATGAAAAATAATCTGAAAATAAATGAATTGTTAGATATATTAAAATAATTAACTCCCATAGTCTTAAATTATGGAATTATTAATTGTATCGATAGAAGAAAATTTTTAAAAATAATAAATATATAAAAGGAATAGAAGAATATAATATTAAAAAAAAAAAAAAAAAAAAAAAAAAAAAAGAGAAAAAGAAAAAGAAAAAAGAAAATATACATTTTTATTGGAATAAAGCTGAATTTTTTAAAATAGAGAAAAAAACTGATTAATTCTATAAATAGAAGAATAACCCATTTATTTTTAGCAAATGTAGAATAAAAATTTAAAAAAAACTTAGTATTAATTAAGATCATACTGTTTTAATAATAGATTTAAGCATTAAACATCAAATAATTGTTTTAAATAAATATTTTTAAAATTTTTGTTTTAAAAACAAAATTTAATTCTTTCAACATATTTTTTTTTGTTTTCTCATATATCTACTTAATAAAATACATACTTTTTTATATATTTTCCAATATATATACATCTTATTTTATCGTCATATTAAAAAAAAAAAAAAAAAAAATTCAAATTAATATAAAATTAATTTTTATATGAAAATTTGAAAAAATAAAATAAAAAAAAATTCAGATATCTCTTTCATTTTCTAATTTAGTCTAATTAGCATCATCACTATTATTCATATCAAAATGAAGCTAGAAGAAGTAAAAGACATACAAAAAATTGAAAGGATTGGAGCTCATTCACATATTAGAGGTTTGGGATTAAATGATTGCTTAGATGCTAGATACTGTTCTGAAGGTATGATTGGGCAGATGAGTGCACGTAAGGCTGCAGGTATTGTCTTAAGAATGATTAAAGAAGGAAGAATAAGCGGAAGAGCAATTTTATTAGCTGGACAACCAGGTACTGGAAAAACTGCAATTGCCATGGGCATAGCAAAAGCATTAGGAGAAGATACTCCATTCACACACATTTCTGGTTCAGAAGTTTACTCTTTAGAAATGAGCAAAACAGAAGCCTTAACTCAGGCTTTTAGAAGATCTATTGGAGTTAGAGTAAAAGAAGAATCAGAAGTAATTGAAGGGGAGGTAGTAGAAATTGAAATAGAAAAATATAATGAAAGTGATATTAATAATAGTAACAGAAAAGTAGGGAAAATGATTCTTAAAACTACAGAAATGGAAACTTTATATGATTTAGGAAATAAGATGATAGATGCTTTACAAAAAGAGAATATAACTGCAGGTGATGTTATTTCTATTGATAAAAGCACAGGAAAAATTACAAAAATTGGTAAGTCTTTTGCTAGATCTAAAGATTATGATGCCATGGACCCTAATACAAATTTTGTTCAATGTCCAGAAGGAGAATTGCAAAAAAGAAAAGAGGTCGTTCATACGGTTACATTACATGATATTGATGCCATAAATAGTAGAACCCAGGGATTTTTAGCCTTATTTTCAGGTGATACTGGAGAAATTAAAAATGAAATTAGAGAGCATATTGATATGAAAATTAGTGAATGGCAGGAAGACGAAAAAGCAGAAATTGTTCCAGGTGTTTTATTTATTGATGAAGTTCATATGTTGGATATAGAATGCTTTTCTTATTTAAATAGAGCCTTAGAAAGTGAACAATCTCCTATTGTTATTATGGCAACTAATAGAGGTATTACTCATATAAGAGGAACAGATTATAAGGCTCCTCATGGAATTCCTTTAGATTTATTAGATAGAACCCTTATTATACCTACATATCCCTATAAACATCAAGATATTCTAAAAATATTAGAACAAAGGGCTGAAGAGGAAGACGTAGAAATTGATGAATATGCTAAAGAATTACTTTGCAAAATTGCATCTGAGTCATCTTTAAGATATGCTCTGCATCTAATAACCTTGGCAAATTTAGTTTCAAAAAAAAGAAAAGCTACAGAAGTTACTGTACAAGATGTTAGAAGAGTTTATAATTTATTCATTGATGTTAAAAGAAGTACACAATATTTAATTGAATATCAAAACGAATTTATGTTTTCTGAATTGCCCAAAGAAGATGAATGTGTTAAAGAGGAAGTCTGTGAAGAAAAGAGGGAAATTCAAGAAAAACAATCAGTAAACTCTAATATAAGCAACTAACAATATACATAATATATCATTTCAAAAAAGAGAGAAAATAAAAGTAAAAATTAAGTTTATAATTATGTCAAACATGTTATGTAAAAAAAAACAAAACAAAAATATTACAAATATTAATATATTATTGAAGAAAATTTTTTTGAACAAAATATAAAGTTTTATACATAATACAAGGATAAAAAAAAAAAAAAAAAAAAAATCAATTTATGTATTGTATATTTGAAATATATTCCTTTATATAGAAAAAATAGAAAAATCTTATTTTAATTCATAAATGAATTCTACATTTGTAATACAGAATAAAATTTGTTAAAAATATGCTTTAGTTATTTTATTATTATTTTTGTTTTATTTTATTTTTTTTTTTTTTAATGTTATAAATAAATTTTTTTTTTTATTATAATTGCAACTATTGTTGATAATAACATAAAATTGATATATTTATATAAATCTTTTTTTTTTTTTTTCTTTTGATCTTATATATATAATCTTTTTAAATATTTATAAGAAAAGAAAATAAAATACTCTTCAATGTATTTTTATTTTTTTTTCTAATTTTATATATTTTAATTACACCTCTATTTATTTTTCATTAATCAGAATGTAATAAATATTTTTTCATATAAATTTTTATATATTTTGATAAGTGTTGTCTTAAAATTTCTTTCATATGTTAATTTATTTGAAATATATAAATATACTTTTTTAACAATAAAAATAAATAAAATATATCCTAAATTTTTATAATTATGTGAAAAAATTAATACACTCCAAAATACGAGTTTTATTTTTTAAGAATAAATATATACAAGAAAAAATCTCTTCAATAAAAAATTTCCGGGATAAAACATTTATAAATTTTTAGAGAATTGAGAATATATTTTAATATAATTGTTAATTTTCTTTATTTTTATAAAAGTTGAAATTAACAAATCTTTTATTTTTAAAATGGAATTTTCAAGTATTTGTAAGATTTGCAGTATTATTAAATTAATCAAAAAATAATTTTTTTTAAAATATCAAAAATAATTACGTGCACATGAATTTTTTGTCCAAATCTTTTATTAATTTTTCATTCTCTTCCTTTCATTTAATTTTTTTTTTTTCTCTTAAAGATTCTATAAATATTCTATTTCTTTAATAAAACTTTACAGCTTTAATGAAAAATCTTAGGAGAAAAAAAAAAAAAAAAAAAAATGATCAACTAGCTGCAAAAAATTTTTGAAAAGATGAACACAACATAAATTGTTAATTTTGTTTAACAAATAATTATTTTAGGTTTTTCAAATCATAAAAAATGTTGACAAAGTTGTAAGCTAATATATTTGCAAATAAATATTTTACAACAGTTTTTTTATTATTTTCTTTCAACCATGTTCAAAATTGTATTTTTTGTCAAAATGTTAATACAACATAATTAAGAAAAAAATAAGGAATGTGTATGAAAAAGCTATTTATGCGGATGTTATAAAAAATTAATTTTTATTATGTACATATATATATGTCTATTATATTTTCAATACTTTGAGAAGTATGAAGTATTTGTATATTTTTTATATATTTTTTTAAAGCATAAGAAAATTTTATTAAATATATGTGAAACTTTCTTTTTCCTTTTATATTTTATTATATTCAATTTTCTCTTACGCATTAATTTTTTTTTTTCATAATTTTTTTCAAAATTGTGTTCATATTTTTTTAGAAAATTTCTTTCTAAACATACTTCTGTTAAAAATTTGTATTTATTATTCATCTTTTCTTGATTTTCATATTAATAATTTTTTTTTTTTCTCGTAAAAATTTTTTATGTAATGATACGTCTATAAAGTACGTATATAAATAATGAAAAATTACAAAAACAAAAGTAAAAAATATGCAAACAATAATTTTTTCATCAACGAACAAAATGAAGACAAATATTAATAGTAAGAATGTATTACCTAACAAGGATGAATTTATATATTGCTTAAAAATGTTAGATAATCTTGGATTCTACGATGGTTAGAACATCTGAAATATAATTCATTTAATATTTTTTACTAACAATAAAAAATATCAAGGCTAATCCACTTTTATTTTTTTTTTTCTCTACAATATAGAAATGGTTGCATCTATTAAATCTGTTAACGTAGAAAATTATAATTTAAACTACAAAGAATCACTATTAATGGTGCTTAATTTTAATACATTACACATATTTTTCCTATATGTGTTTAATTTCTAAAAAAATAATTAAAAAAAAAAAAAAATTGTATATATACATCATTTTATTATATTATTACTGTTCATGATATTATTAAATTATGTAAAACATGTGGAAAATTAAACGAAAGTCCAATTTATTAAAAAATTCTGTACACGCTTAATATTTATATATTAATTTATTCATTTATTTATTTAATAATTATTAACACTTGTAATACAAAAAAAAAAAAAAAAATAAAATAATTATTAAATAAAAATTCTTCACTACAATTATATTTTTATTACTAATAATATTATTTCTTTTTAGTAAATATTAAAAAAATTGAAATATATTAAATAAAAAATTATACGTGATAGAGTCAATAATTAAAAAAAAAAAAAATGTAAAATTACATGTATTTAAACGAATTTTTTTTATTAGGGATCTGCTTTTAAGAATGCTTTAAATGTTAAAAGAAAGGAAAAGACAATAGTTGAAAATATAATGTCAAATGAAAAATCTAGCGAAAAGGAAAAAGTTTGTGCGGAATTACTAAAATCCAAATTAAATAAAGACATAAGAACCATTGAAAAAAATGCATACATTATCATTAAAACGAAATGTATCCCTAGAACAACTGATGATGTAGGTATTTTTGTTTTCTACAAAATAAAAAAAAAAATAAAAATTAATATGAAAATTAAAATTGATAATTTAAATTAGTTAATTCCATTTTTTCAATAAATAAGTTTTTAATATTATAAATGAAAGAATTATTTATATTATTACAAATTTCTGCTTCTTTAAATAAATTATATATGTTTGCGTTATTCATTTTAGAAAGTTTTATTATTTTACTGGCATTTATTGGGAGATATTTTTAGATATTGTGCAGATACATTTAATAAAGAAGAGAAAAAAAAATTGCATGAAAAAAGTTTGCAATCATATTCTTTTGCCCTAAGAATTGCAAACAAGATGAAGGTATTCTCTTCTAGTCCAATAATGTTAGAACTTTTAGTTAGTTTATCAGGTTAGTATATATAATAGTGTGAACCTAAGAAATAAATTTCTTTTTAATATTTTATTCTTTTAAAATTTTTTTATAGTTCTTCATAAAGATATGGATAAAGATATTAATTTTGCTATAGAAATGGCAGCACAAGCATTTAGAAATGCCATTCAAAACATGCATCTTCTAGAGTAATATGAAATTATATTATGTACATAAAGATGTTTTAAAAATAATGATTATATTTTATTACATTTTTAATATTTGTAATATTTTATAATAATTATTTGTATACATGTCTTAATATATCAATGTCGAAAATATTTTGTTTATAATTTTTTCTTTTATTACTTCATAATTACTTTATTATTGAAATAAAAATAAGGATAAATAAATGTTATAAAAATTATACTATTACTTTTTTTTTTTTTTTGTTGTTTTTCAGAAATGATGATGAATGCTCTAAAACAATTGGTATATTAGGTCTATTAAGAGATAACATAAATAAGTGGTGTGAAAGTAAGTTTTTTTTTAAATTATCAAAAGGTTTCTATATATAATACTTATTAAAAAAAAAAATTTTTTTAAAAGTCGATTATATTATTTTTGTTAAATATATTTTTATTTTACGTAGTTAGCGGAAGAAAAAATGTAAATGCTTTATTTGAAATAAAAGGAGAAAATTTTGATAAATATAAAAATATTATGAACAGTATTCATACATAAATGTAGAAAGAAAAAAATGCAATAAAATATAAAATTTACCTTAACTACTTTTTTAAATAATTAGATTAACTTTACTTTTTTGTTCTTTAATTAATTTTGTCATTTTTTGCTGAAAAAAATTAAAGTTTATCCTAGTTTTTTATTTTGATATAATTCATAATTCTATAAATAATAAAATAAATTTAAATTTTTTCATTTTATCCACAAAGAAATTAGTTATTATATTTTTTATTTATCTCTTTAATCCTATTTATAATGTCTTTCTTTAATCTCAATTAACTTTCTGTTTAACTAATTTTCCAACAGTAAAAAACCTATATACATTGTAATTTGAACTACTATTAATAAAATTATTCATTTATTTTCTTTCCTTTTTTTTTTTTTTTTTTCTTGTTTCTTCTTAATATACTTTTATAAATAATTTTAAAATTAAAAAAAAAATGATTTAATTTCTCTTCTAAATGCTTTAAAGAACTTTCTATAATTTATGAAAATAAAGATAAATATTTTATTGCAATATACAAAACTTAAATTATAATTTTTTAAAATATAATTTTAATAAAAATATATGAAATATAAAACTTGTTTTTTCTTTATATTATATAGAGGTTGTTTTCCTAATAAAATAAAAAAGTATTACAGAATAATAGTAATAATAATAATAATAATAATAATAATAATAATAATAATAATAATAATAATAATAAAGGAATTAAATTTTAAACTTTACAAAAAAAAAAAAAAGGTATATGTAATGTCTGTTAGTATAAAAAAGAGTATTTAAGAATATATAAGTATAAAATATATATATACACATATCAATAAGACATTTTATATGATAATATTTATTAAAGAGAATATGAATTTTTGAAAAACAAAAAAAAAAAAAAATTAAATAAAATAAAATAAATATAATAAAATACAATTATATATATTTTACATAATATATAAATGAAATGTTAAAAAAAACAAAAATAAAGAATTCTAATTTCAATTATGATATTTCTATACTTTTTTCAAAATTTTATGATTTATCTAAATATATTTTAAGTAAATGTAAGTATATTATTCTTCTTCATTTCTGTATTCTGGGGGTATCCAATCAACTGGATTTATATCAGCATTTCTATATCTAACTGCTCTTCTAGCTTCAAGATACTGAGAAAAAGCATGATGATCAATTTCTCCACCATAATAGTGCCAATGAAAATGTTTGTAATATTCATCAGGATCCATAGTAACTTCTAATGGTTCAAATTTTTGTATATACATAGTAAAAATAAAAATTGGTAAAACAGTAACTACTAATGAACCAACCAAAAGAAATAAAAATTGGAATTGACCTACAGTTGCCTTCAAAATTTGTTTGTATGTAAAATGTTTCAAATAATCTTTATTATTAAAAAAGGTAACTAATTCATCTGGTGTCATAGCATGAATAGAAGGACCTGCCCAATTCCCATATTGATAACCAGTTTCTTTTTTTGTTCTTGTTTTAAACATATTAACCCATGGATAATTATGAACCTTTCTTGGATCTAAACCATTATATAATCTTGGTGCATTTCCTACCTTTGGAATTTTAAACATATCAGAATTAGGATAATAAGATTGTAATGTTGCATTTGCAAATAAATGCCTTATTTTACTTCTAGATATTGCCATTATTCATAATATTTATAAATAAACTTTATATTTCAATTAAATAAAACCTTTATTTTTTCTATTCAATTAATCTTAATTTTTTTTTCTTATTTATTCAATGTCCTTATCAATATTTTTTTTTTTTTTTTTTTTTACTTCCTATTATTTCATATATAAACTTGTATCTCTTTATATATATATATTTTTATTGAACACTAATTGGAGAATTATTTTGTACTTTATTTTTTACTTACTATAAGTTATAATAAAAAACCTATTATTATTTATATATTTCATACAATTACCATAAAAAAATATTCATATTATTTAAAAAATCTCTTTATTATCAATTATATTTATTAAAAGTAAATATTTTTTCTTTTGAATAATTTCATTTATACATGAAAAGGATCATTAAATATGTTTTACCATATAAAAAATAAGGTGAAAAAAAAAAAAAAAAAAAATCTATTCCATAAAACAATATTATTTAAATAAATAAACTTTTTATTATAATTTTCTTATATAAATTTTAATATTTTATCTATATATTTATTTTTATTTTGTTTTTATTTATTTTTATTTTTTTTTTTTATTCAATAAATACAAAAAAACATGCACTTAATATATTGCATAAATTTTAACGTAAGTATGAATAAAATATATAACTTACACCATTTTATAGAATATAAAATTTAAAACTTTTTTTTATCCAAATTCAAACATTTTGAATGAACTTTAAAAATTCGGAGAAATTGTTTGAAAGTGGGTTCACTTTATTATTTTAAATTTAATTTTACTAAATATTTCGTTTTAAAATTTATACTATTCATAATATGACTAAAAAAAAAAAAAAAATTTCAAAATTTAGCTCTTTATATAAATGATAAATTTGTATAAATAAAAATTTCTATTTTAAATAACAAGAATTAAAAAGGAAAAAGAGTAAAAGAAGGTATTAAATTTGTTTAAAATTATATTAATATTTAATGAATTCATTATATTTTTTATATGGAAATGAAGTATTTTTTTTTTTTTTTTTTTTCTTTTATTAATCTTTAAAATTACAAATAAGATAATCAAATTATAGATAAAAATAAGAACCAAAATTTAAGCATTATATATAAAATTGAAAAAGAAAAAAAATTTAATAGAAATTATTAATTCTAATATGTATATATATATTTTAAAAAATATCTTTTTATGAATATTTCATTTTAATATATATGAAAAAAATGCAAGAAAAAAAGAAAAAAAAACTTTTGTATTTTTTAAGTCTGTAAATTATTTATAATATATATATATATATATATAATATTCTATGATTAAATATATATATATATATATATATGTGCATAATTAATTATAAATTAATTCCTAATTAAAACTTTATACACAAAATAACACATAATTTATATTTGATATTTTAATAATTTATTTTATTTCATTAGCATATGAAATAAATATTAAAGGTAATCCTATAAAAAAAGAAAGTAAAAAAATATTCATGAAAATATTTAAATTTGTTTAATATATATATATATATATATTATTTTTTATTACCTAATAAAATATTAGACCAAAAAATTATATTTCCTATTGGTTTATTTTTATAAAAGTGTTCTCCTAACCATGAAAGGGGAAATTGTAAAAACATCAAAAAAAATAAATAAAATTTACAAGTATGAAAACAAGCTATCTATATAGAAAAAAAAAAGGTTAATATGAGAAAACTTGTATTATTTAATCTACTTGTTATATATATTTATTATTATAAAATAGTTTAATTATATTATTATTATAAATTTATATGAACCATTAATAATTCATGAAAAATAGCTGAAAATAAATAAGTTAAGATACATGCTTTGAATTTATTTAACTACAAAAAAAAAAAAAAAAAAATTAATGAAATATAAATGAATTTAATTATAACATAAATTTTTAATAAATATTCTATTTATAATGAAAACTTTTTTTTCTGAATTATATTAGAATTTTTTTTTTCTTATTTAATTTATATAAAATTTATTTTAAATAAAAATATACAAAAATATATATAACTTTATAATTATTTTTGGCAACTAAATAAACGTGTTTAAACAACCAAACTTGAACAACATTATTCCATTTTCTTGAAAACTCATACCATATTGTACTATTCCACCAATCCTTCAAAAATAAAATAATAAATATGTAATATACTTAAATTATATAATATATATTTATATAATTATTTATCTACTTGATAAAATTCTCTTTCTCCAAATTTTGTTATTTCAGCAAATAAATTACAAATACATTCAAATATCATATAAAAGGTTACAAGAAAAATAATCAAACATGGGAATATTAATCTACATAAAATAAAAATAAACTTATTAATTTATAATTATATTTTTTTTAAAAAATACGTATATATATTTATATGTATATATATATTTTTTTTTATGACCTAATTATTGCTTCAAAAAATGATATATTATTTATATGATAGATAGTAGGTGCAATAAAAACAGTAAATGTTGTATATTCTATAATCTAATAGAAATAAAAAATTAGAATCCAAAAATAAAGTAGAACTTTTAATATTTAAAAATTAAATTATGTAAATTTATACCACAGTTAATAGCAAACTTGTAATCTTTTGAACAAAATATTTAGGTCTAAATTTTTTAATTCTATAAAAAAAAAAAAAAAAAAAAAAAAAAAAAAACTATAAAAAATTATCCATTTATAAATTTTTTGTTATTCTCTTTTAGAATTATATTAAAAAATTAGAGACCTTTTGAAATTAAATTTATATATTAGAGAAGGGCATATCATAAAATTTATATAATTTTTTAAACTTATCTATAAAGTTAAAAATAATAATAAATATTTGACCACAAGAAAAAAATAAATGGTAAAAAAAAAAAAAAAATCATATTTTATAACTATTAAATTTTTTGTTAAACTTACAATCTTATATTTAATAAAATAATCATCTGGGTATCTTTTAGCATACTCCAAATTTGTAAATAAATAAGAGTGCATCTACAAATAAATAAAAATATAATTATAAAATTATTATTATTAAAAAAAAAAAAAAAAAAAAAAAAAATACAAAATTATTATAAACAATGTATATGATACTATATCCCTTAAATACTATTAAGACTAACACAAATAAATATATCTATTTTAAAATATTATAAAGTTAAAAATTTACTTTCATAAAAAATATGTAAGATATAGAAATAATAAATCCACATGGAATAGCTGTAAATCTATATTAATAAAAAAAAAAAAAAAATTTCATATTCATTATATATAAATATATACATTTATATGCACTCAATACTTAATATATATGCAACTAAAAAATGTAAATATTATTATCCATATTTCTGAAAAACTTTGTAAAATTAATAATACTGAAGTTGAAATTTTTTTAATTCTATATAAATAATATATAAAATATGTTCTAAAAAAAAAAAAAAATAAAAGTATTAAAAATAATATTAAAACGTTAACAACACTTATTGAGCAAACATACAAATAATTTTTATATAGAGATTTTTAATACATTTAATAAATATTGTATAAATGCTTTTATTTTTTTTTATCTACATAAAAGAAAATAGAAAAATTTTTAGACATAAAAGAATCTAAAAAAAAAAGAAAAGAAAAAGAAGATAAATAAAATAAGAAATTTTAATTATATTTTGTAATTTTAATTGTTATATGATACTAATAATGGAAATTTTCTAAACATTGATTTTAGAAGCTGAAAAAAAAAAAAAAAAAAAAAAAAATAATAAAATAAATAAAAAATAGCTTTTTGAAAAATTAAAATGTAAACTATAAATTTAATTAAAATAAAAAAAGAAAAAAGAAATTATTTTCTTTTATTTTAATAATACTGAAGTATCTAAAAAGTATCCCTTTTCCATAAAATTTAAAAGTGGCATAATCAAAGAGAAAAATAAACCCATATTAACTAAGCAAAAAATATATTACGTTTTTTTTCAATTTTATCCTGTTATTTCATTTTGAAATATAATTTTTATTAATTTTAATGAATATAATTTTATTTTTTTTTTTTTTTTTTTATTTATATTTTTATAATTACGTATTAAATTTCCAAATCCACAAAAATTTGAAGACATAATTGGTGAGTTATTATCGAATATATCTAGATGTGAAGGGGTGTATAAATTCTTTTGAATATTGTTATCTTGTTCTTTTACTTCATTTTTTTCGTGTTTATTTAAATCATTATTGTTCTTATTATCATTATTTATATTAACATATAATTTTTCAATATAATATTTTTGTTCTATTTCACTAATAGTATTAGATTGAACCCTTATCTTCATTTTTTTAAAAATTATATATTAGTTGTACACTTTGTTATTGTAAAAAACACATTTCTTTTCAATAAATTGATTAAAAATGTCTCCTTCAATTATATTTTATAAAAAAAAAAAAATAAAAATAAAAAAAACAAGCAAATTTAATAATTATTACATTAAAATAAGAGAAAAAAGAAAAAATATAATTTTTACGATTCAAACCATCTAAATTATTTTTTCAAATTATTTCCAGTCTGCTTATTTTATTACATGCTTTTAAATTTATTCTTAAAAAAAAAAATAAATAAATAGAACAAAAGGTTTAAAATATAAGAGAAAAAAAAAAAAAAAAAAAAAAAAAAAAAAAAAA